ATTGCCCGAGGTATCAATCAGGTTAGTTTGACATCCTCGTACTTCAAGAATAGATATACAACAACGATTTTTACGATCCTTGTGAACGTTCTATTTAATCAAAATAGGCCCAAAAGTGACAACGTTAGATGACTTTTGGCGGATGGTATGGCAGAAGCAGAGCGGAAAGATTATTATGCTTGCAAATTTAGTGGAACTTGGAAAGGTAATAAAACCTATATGACATATCTTCATCTATGTTATCCATGCTTTGATGACGTTATCAGCGTTTCCTATATATTCGTATTATTTGACATTTTTGCGACGAAGCCGTGACATCGTTTTTTCAGACTTTTTTTCATGATTATTTTTTATTCATTTTTTTACATAATAGTATTTGTACGTGTAGAAAGATGATTTGGAGAACCATGCTTCTTTTAACAGATCAATTCCAAGTTAGCACAACTAAAACTTTATACTTAATGGAATGTACTTTATATGTGGTTGTGCTGTCTTGTACCCATGTACTGTGTCATCCAGTGAATATACCCGTGTCATATTTTTTTGCGTATTAACCCATGTACTATGACCTATCAGCCATGTGATTGGTTGTAAGTTTAAATTGTTTCAATTGTGACGTCACGCATAGACAAGAACATGACATCACAGCCTTACGCACTGGAGTCAAAATGGTGGCTTTTTACATTTCAAGGTTGCATGCAAATTGTCGTTTTACACGAATACATGCCACATATCTTGAGTATGTGATAAAAAGGATCTTACACTCGTTTTCATTCATATCAAATTTATGAAACTCGTCACGAATTTTTCATTTTAGCTCAACAGAGGCTCGCTAAATTGAAACATTCTTAGACCCGTTTCATAAATCTCATATGAAATGAAAACTCATATAAAATCCTATATATATGATATGACCTTTGACACTTATAACTGGCATGTATGCTATTGTCTTGCATGCATGACACTGATCTTCCTGCCAATTTCTATCATCAATCGTGCCACTGCCCGCCCTTAAGATCCATTCTATCTAGCTCAGACCAGTTTTTCAATATCACGTCTCAGTTTAATAACTAAAGAGATTAGTATATGATATGTAATACATGAGGAGATCAAGCATATACTAATATCGTCGGTAGGAGGTATTAGTGCTTCAGTATTAGATGCACTAAGGGCGTGAATCAATGCATCCATGTTTGTTGGCTGTAAAAGCCTGTTTCATCGTAACCAGATCAATGGTGATATAGACCACCATTAGTATAATTTTATATTCATGAATCCTTGATGACTGCTCATGTGGTGAATAAGTAATATCCCCTCTTCGCCTTCTGGATTCAATCCCTATAAAAGGCACTATTAGTATTGGTTTATAGTTCTTTATTCCTCGTTAACAGTTGTTAATTAATTATATTAATTGACTAAGTTAAATATATTAGGATGTTGTGATTTGTTTAGCATTTTTGGCATTTTTATTATTATTAGAAAAAGTGCAGTAAATACTGGGATGGGGAGGAGGGCAATTTCCTGCAGCTCGGACTATATCAAGTGACACTACAAGAGGAATTGTCGTACGCCTTCTATACCATTAGAAAACTATCAGTGAGGAATAAACAGGTAATTGATAGGAACCAAAAAAAATAGAAACATATTTTGACTTTGAAAATGCGTAAGAAATCAGGATCTTTTCTGGACATAAACAATATCATTTGGCGAATTGAAGGTAAGCTATTTTGTCATTGGATTAGTCCTCACCATTTTGAGGACATGACATAACTTGGTTTTGACCAAAATTTGGGAGTGGGGGTTGTCGTCGATGAAGCAGAAGACGCTCACTCTTTCGGAACACCTGGTCGGGTTTCCTTTGTACGTGTTCAGTTGTTGTCATGTTGGTCTATCATTATTGAAAAATTGTAACCATGGTGTCATTGCTTTTGAATTCAAGCTGCTGTTTTGTTGACATACCGAAATTCCTTATTTTCATAGAAATTGAAGTTTTAAATAAAATAGAGAAGACATATGAATGCTTAGGCCAGAAATATCGTATCATTGGCGTCTAAAACCCCCATTTTGTCAAACAACCGTTACCCTTTATCTATTGTTGTTATCAAGACTAACGCCAAAAGGCAGATTATGCAGTTCCACTTCACAAAATGGCCAGATCACGGTGTACCGGAAGCGTTCGAACTCCTTCAGTTTCACAAACGGGTACAATCTTCACCAACAGATCTGAACGGTCTACTTATTGTGCACTGCAGGTAAGAGGCTGCTAGATTGATAACAGTTGTAAAACTATATCTATTAATGTCATTGTGTTTTAATTTCAGAATTAAAAGTTCCAATATAAGTTTAGCTCATCAACGGCTTTTTCATTGATTAATGACCATTGGTTACGCTGATAATAAAAACTTGACCGGTACATGCGAGGTGAAAATACAGCTTAGTTCTCAACCCATCAGCGACGTAAGAAGAACAAAGAACAGAGTGATCTGCAACTTTTGTAGAAGAAAGATAAATATTGAAAAAAGATTCCATTTTTGAAGAATTGTTCAAACGTAGATTGAATTGCTTTATAATGCACTAACAAACAAATTTCAAAAACACACGACACAAATGGATGAAAGATGTACAGTAGTTAACTATGTTTGTTATCTTTGCAACGTGCGAAATATAAACACTGATGATGACAAAATGTGTCTGGCAAGCGTAAAGCATATCAACATTCTACAAATTGGCCCTGACGTTTTCGCCGCCATATGTATTTAAAGACAGTGTACATAAATAGAAATTGTACTTACATTGATTGACTCTGACTACATAGCTTAATTACTAAATATAAACATGTGAATTTACTGATGCTAGCTTAGAATGCGAATATTCTACTTGTTCACTAATCATAAGAGTTTACAACAAATCTGTTAAACGAGGCAAAAGTTTTTGTAAAGACATCGGGATGCCAAAGCCAGTTTTGTTACAGATACATAAGCGATGAACACACTTTGTTAAGTTATCCAAGACATCAACGAATTGGTCTCTTCGATTTAATTCGACATATTGAGCTTGAGGACTATTTAATTGGACATATTAATGCTGGATTTTTTCTCTCGATAAGATCGTCGGATAATTAATATCTTACAGTGCCGGTATTGGAAGAACCGGAACATACATTGGTCTAGACGCCTTGTTGAAAGAGGGAAATGAGAACGATGAAATCGATGTGTTTGCTTACACTAAAAGGATGCGGAAGGATCGAATGAACATGATACAAACAATAGTAAATATTCAAGATTCAAAATGAGTACAAAAAAGAATATGTGTTCTATATTAGCTATTGCAATACTAATAGTCTATGATAGATTACCATTTTGATAAAAGTGACACTAATTCTTAAATCGTAACATTGTACAAATATTGGCACAAAAAATAATAGAAGTATACAAAGAATCACTATTGAATTAAACCCTAATCAAGTAAAAATCATGGTAAATATTTGTACAGAATGTATGCTGTAACATGTAACAAAATTATCTATAAACTGATTGTTAGTACATGTACTTTGGTAATCTACCTATCAGGATAAAAAAAGGTATTACCGATCATTGGTCCAAATACGCATAGTGTCCTGTTTCGTACTATGTTCACAACATGCACTGTTTACACAATGTGACATTACTTACAGGACCAGTACGTAGTACTCCACGATGTCCTCGCCGAGGGCCTCGGAATTGTGACCCAGTGTATGACAGAACCTGATTTCAGCAAAAATATTTCTGACATGCTTACTGGGGGCATTGTCGAAAAACAGTTTAATGCAAGTATCAATTTGAATAAAACCTCCATGCAACATCACAAGATGGCTGGTTAGTTATACACACACTTTGGCTTGAATAGATTTATGATTAAGAATGAAATTGCGAAACATGAACGAAATCTTATTAAGAAAGGGCAAGTTGACCTATTCTAACCTACAGTGTACAGTTGCTTACATAATTATCATTCATTTTATAATACAATTATAACGAGTAATACAAACATGCTACTACATTGTATTATGCATTTTATGATACAGATGTACATGTACACTAAGCCAAACATGATATATTAATCGAAATGATGAATCTTACAATGACCCTGTCAATAGGATATATTTTCGTAAATCAAATAAATGTTTATTTCTATTGTTATAGATATTACTTATATTGTAATCCTATGGTAACTATAATAATAGAATATTATGATTACAGGTGTACATGATACATATTTGATTAATGATTTATTTTAATAAACCGTGAAGGCTTTAGAAAATCACAAGCCTCATTACAAAGACAGAGATATCGAGACTGCTCTTACCAGCACAAACAAAAGGAAAAACAAAGACCTCTCAATATTAGCAGGTGAGTGTGATTTCATTTGTAGTTTGACGTTGTTTTTTTTAGGAATTGCTTAGAGGAAATGACAACCTTGTCAAAACCAGATCATTATAACATTTGCTTCGTTCAACTGAAACAAAATCGAGTGACAGTGATAAAGTATTTCTTTATGTGATTGTCATCTTGAATATGATTTTTCTTGCATACACCCTTAACATATTCAATTGTAGCAGTATTTTTGTTTGTTAAAAATATAATATTAACGTGTTTCAAGTTCAATTTACGTACATGAGTATTTCGTACATGTATGAAGACACAAAACTGCTTGATACTAACCTTTTTTTCTTACAGTGGAGAGATACCGGGTGTACCTAACAGCTACAACATCCGATTATATAAACGCAATAAATGCACCGGTAATGAATTTGGACATCGATATGTGTGTCTTATCATGCTGATTTATATAAAAATGGCTTTACATTAATATGTGAAAAATACAAAATATATAATAAGTACAACTTTTATCTCATCATCATCATTTGGATACTCCATTTGATACTTCCTGCTATTACCTCTTTCTCATTTGATCTGTCTGGCACATTCCCGCGGAATTTTCACACAGCAACGTTTTCATCCGTGCGCTAACGCAAGTTATACAGACACACTGTACAACCGTACATTGTTTTGTAAACACACTTGTGTGAACTACTTTTTATTGTTATGAAGGACGGACTATGTTGTTTACGCAGAATCATTCAAACTTAAATTTAAAAGATTTAGTAGTGGAGAGGCTATATTTGTTTTAGGCGCCGGACGAAATCCTTGTACACTCTAGCGAAAATGAATAGTTTTTTTTGCACTAAAAGGTGTGAGAAAAAACAATTGCCTGTAAGTTAGCAATATTAGGTTATCTCAGTCTCGGTCTAAGATTACGTAACATCTCAACCGACGCGTCAGCGAAGATTGGGTTTATGTTTCATAATCTTAGCCTTCGACCGAGATAAGCCTATCTCACTCAGTTACAGATAACAAATTGTATGAGTCCGATATTGTACATATACAAAAACGTTGAAAGACACGAGTTTACATGAAGTGTACATGGAAATACATATTTATCATAACAACATATATTCTAATGTAAACTGGCATACCAATAGTATATCTTAGTGGAGAAAATTATTGTTACAATGACGACTGTCATTTATTCTATAATTAGTTTAGAAATTTAATGATATACTGGAAATTGCCAAACAATTCGACAAGAATAGCATATTTAACGACAAGATCATGAACATATTTTTGATAATGTCACAAACCAAATAATTATTCTCTTTAATTTTGGAGTTATCGGGATCAGTATGGATATATCATTACACAGCATCCTCTAAACAACACGGTCGAAGACTTCTGGTCCATGGTCTCGCAGCAGGCGGTTGATGTCATTGTATCGATTGGTACACCTCAGGTAAAAGTCAATCAAATGATCAATATATCTGTTATATTCATATTTATACCGTGACAGGTGAATCAGGAGACAATATTGAAAACTTCCCCTTTTGGTAATAGCAAAAGCGATTTGTTATGGGTTAACAGGGGGTGAGAATACACCAGTTCTGCTCGGTAGAAAGCAATATTGTAAATTTGTCTTTTTTGTTTTTGGAGTACACAAAGCTATTTATTTTTGTTAAACAGGATGTCAGAATACACCAATTTACCAATTTTAACTCATTCACTCCTGAAGACACATTTTAACTCTCTCTTCCAATTCACAGGTTGGAATAGTTCATTATGAAATTTCAGGGGTGAATGAATTAAAGAAGACTGAATTGAAATGGTCATTACAACTGTATGTAGAATGTAACAGGATGTCAGAATGCGCAGGGGACGCATACTACTTTTTATAATACGAAAGCAAAATATCATATTATTGTTAATTAATTTATATTAAATATCTTTAGGAATGACATACTATTATTTTAGCGGGTAGGAAGTTTTGTATCTCAATAATTTTACGGTATTTGTTATATTTCAAAGTTCGTAACAGGATATGTAAATGTTTAGTAGTTTACCACAATAACACTGATATAAAGATTAACATCATATGCAGTCTTGGCGTGGCTGTGTATCTTGATGAGCGTACAATATTTGTAATATCTCATATTTGTTTATTACTGTTACATTTACTCAACACCATAACGCTGTTATGATCACTATCATAATTTATTATGCAACCTTGACGGCTATATATTCATTAAATTTATGACTATGCAATCACGGATATTCAACAAAAGAAAACGATTCTATTAATTATTGACTAATGATAGTGGTTTCTTAATTTCATCATAGAATCATAGATCAATAAATAGTACAATTGTATCCTAAGCTTAGGAGTTAGGTATTTGTCATATTTTAAGGGTGACGCGAGATGGCCCACACAAGAAGGACACGTTGACACGTTTGGCGACTACACCGTTATGTATGACGACACTCAGCCGCAATCATTGAAGTCGGATGGTGTGATCAAACGGAAGCTTTCAATTCAGAACAAGGTAATACTACATGACAGGAAATATCGTTCCAGTGATGTTAACTTGACAGTAACAATTATTATTTTACCACAATATCATACAAAAAAAATCGATATCATGTGTAAACAAATGTTAATTCCATTGATTTGAACATAAAAATACAAACTATTAATTCTTGTTTCAATAAATTTGGTAGTATTAACTATATGGTTTGTAGATATCAAAATGTTACTGTGAAAATAACTTAATTAAATTTGTGTGTACCGTATGTGTACTTGTACGAGGGTCATATATAGATATAAGCGTTGATGCCTAAATATGTCAGTGTATATCACCATAACCCTGATGAATTTCTTATGTGACAAAATTTTCACCGAACCCATATCTACATATTTCAAGACTGATTACTGGGTCAGGTGCATGAAGAAGTCGAAAGTAAAAGGTTACATGTATATATTGTGCTAATTGTGTTTGAGGTCTAACTACATTTAATGTTATATTGTAAACACCATTTTTATAGAAAGCAACGACTAGAACTGTTGTAACCATTCTTGAAACATCGTCTTGGAACGAGTCACTTCCCTCGACAAAATCGATGTTGGAATTGATTCAACAAGTGTTAACCTCAAAAGGCAGTGTAACATCACCAGTCGTCATAACCTGCTCGTAAGTACAAAAACATATCATAAGTGCTGGTGTAAACAATAACATCATCAGTCGTTATAACCTGCTGGTAAGTACAAAACATATCATAAGTGCTAGTGTAAATAATAACATCAGCAAAAATGACCATAAATCTGGTGTGTAGGGGAAAATGATATGGAATAAATGGAATGTATGCATGTTTTTAGGATAAGCAAATTATTATACCAGCAACGAAGTATACTGGAATCACCCTGTTTGGATGTCTGGATGTCTGGATTTCCGTCGTCCGCAGTAACTTGTCTGCTCGTGCTGCCAATTTACATGTATATTATACATGTATTGATGTTTTATATGCCTCGTGCTTCAACATGTATTTATGTTATATATGGTTTGGGCTGCAACATTTAATTATATTCATATGGCTTGTACTACAACATGCATTTATGTTATGTATGGCTCGTGACACAACATGCGTTTATGTTTTATATGGCTTGTGCTACCACATGCGTTTATGTTTTACATTGCTCGTGACACAACATGCATTTATGTGTTATACGGCTCGTGCTGTTACATGTATTTATGTTTTATTCGGTACAAATATTCCTATTCCGCAAAATTAGTCATGCAATGTCAATAAACGTATTTTTATATTGCTCCCATTTGGTTTTTTTTATGTAAACATGGAGATATAATTATGGAATAAAAAATCAATAAATCTATGTATCAATGTTAATTCCTAATAATGATGTTAGTCTGCTCTATTTAAAGATTATTTCTCTATATACAGACACCTTTGTATCATGTCCGTACAACAATAATATAAAGAATATTCGGATTAGATTAGAGTAATTTCCCTTTTCTCGATCCTGTTACTGAAGGTGATGTAAAACGCGTGCACGTCTTTTGTGAAAGCACTAAATGGCTTTTTGTTTGTTTGTTGAATCAAACTTTTGTCGATTTTTTATTTTTCAGTAATGGGTCATCTGAAAGCGGACTTTTGTGTGTCATATGTAACGTGATGGAACGCCTGGAGGTTGATGGTGAGGTAGACATCATGGCGGCAGCAAGACAGCTTCAAATCCGAAGACCGCAGTGTCTGCAAAATATGGTGATTGTGTTTATATATACTGAAAGAATATAGATACGCAGGATAAACATTTGAGGATTATTTGAATGTTATATACAATATATTTGTATAAGTTTATCACGTGGTTTGACACGATGTGTAAACGAACTTGTCATCGTTATTCAGGACGTGAGTTTTTGCCTTTTAACACTTTCACTAAGTGGCACGGTACATTACACAGCTGAGTAACTTTACAAACCGGTTTGAATACACAAAGATCAAGATACTCGTCTGACAGGTATTTCATAATTTTAGGCTTAGCAGTTAAATAATTGTTGCATATTTTGTAACCCTGTGTTTCTTTATCCTTTCAGTGTGATATACAGTGTACATTACCGAGATTTGTAATCACCTTTTAACCTNAAGTGGCACGGTACATTACACAGCTGAGTAACTTTACACACCGGTTTGAATACACAAAGATCAAGATACTCGTCTGACAGGTATTTCATAATTTTAGGTTAAGCAGTTAAATAATTGTTGCATATTTTGTTACCCTGTGTTTCTTTATCCTTTCAGTATGATATACAGTGTACATTACCGAGATTTGTAATCACCTTTTAACCTGATAAATAACAATGAAATATATTTTTGATATAAATCATGTTCCATCTTTTAGTCGTCATACTGTATTGTCAGTTATTTTACTTCACTCATGTTATTGACAGAGAGGGAAAAGAACAAAACATGTGACGGTGTTTTATAATACAAACTAAATAACACTGTCACCCTGGTAAAATGAGAGCCGCTTCCTACCGACTCGGCTATGGAGAATTTCCCTAAAGCTCATTTGATAGAGCGTAAGACTAGTAAACCAGAGGTCTCGGATTCAACTCCTGTCGGAGGTATTGAAAAAATAGTGGTCTCTGTTACATTGGCGCCCACGTAGGGACCCGGTAGATAAGACAAAAATAACCGGCGATACTTGCAAAGGTATCGGTATGACCCATGGAAAACTATTGACATGTTCTTTCCTGGAGGCGGGAGTATGCATGTCACCCTGGACAAATATTAGCCGCTTCCTACCGACTCGGTTAGGGAAAATTTCTCGTAAGCTCATTCGGTAGAGTGTAAGACTAGTAAGTTAGAGGTCCTGGGTTGGACTCTTACCGGAGGCATTTAAAGAATAATGACCTCTGTTACATCAATTTTTAAACTCGCTACATTTGAAAATATCATAACTTTACGATATAATAAAAATTGCATACAAAATAATTTCCAATTCTGTCAAATCCATTAGCAAAATTAAACATTTGAACACATTTTATGTTTTAGGCGCAGTATCAGTTCCGCTACAAGGTGATGAAAGACCATTTGGATAACGGAAGTGTGTATGCCAACATTTGACGTTTGAGAAATATGTTTGGTGAAAAACATTGACAACTAGAAGTCAGCCTCAGAATGGAGAGTATTTTCGTGATGTAAAATTATGATCCTTTCAAGACTAGAAGTAGATTTATATACATTGTAGCTGTAAATAATTATGTGCGATTCATACTACTGTACATAGGTATAGTTGAAATTGATGCCGACGTCGAAAACAAGTGATTAATACATGTCGTAAAGTTACTGTTAGTAATCATTTTGTAATACAGTTAAACCTCGATATAATGCCCTTCGTTTCATTTACTTCATCGTTTACCGCCAACATATTTCAATGTTCAATTGTTTTCTTCAGAATTTCAATTTAATACTAAACCCCCTTATAACGCCAAAATTTCTCTGGACAATTGGTGGCATTATAACGAGGTTTTACTGTAAATGATTCATATAAAAAAGTAAAAATAAATATGTATTTGCACTTTTTTTATACATTATCACAATATGATTTAATAATATTTGTATAACTGTCAAAGTCCATTTGTAGTATAAAGTTTATTTCTGTGCATTTGAAAATAACATCTGCTTACCACAGAATATGTCATGATTATTAAAATTACAAGAGTACAGCTTAGTTTGAATAATCCATAAATAAAACTTAAAGTATATAAAAACATGGAAAAAATACTAAAACAATACATGGACACCCTTATTAATTAAAGATTTCTTTTATGCATTATGCGGAGAAATATGCATAACAAACCTCAACATAGAAATTGTCGTATTTTTCCCCCATAGATTCATCAAATTGATGTGTAAAATTTATAAAATGATCATGACGCTGTGTTTAGGAACTGAGTACTTCTTGATATAGTGTACTTATAAAATTTATAAAATGATCATGACGCTGTGTTTAGGAACTGAGTACTTCTTGATATAGTGTACTTTCAAGCGGAAAATGTGTTTAATGCGTTCCCATTTGATTTTAAATTTCTCCTATCTCTACCTTAGTAAGATACACGTGTACCCCTTTGATATTATGACGTCACAATCAGGTAACGGCATTTCTTTATGTCGTCACAATTGGAAGTACGTGTAAACGTCGTTTGACTGACTGGCGATTTTGACCTCGACAGATGACTTAAGCTCATGAACATACATGTAATGATTATTGCACAAGCTTGCCATGAAAGATGTTATCTTTTACCTTACTTATCCGCTCATTCCAAATATGGTATAGATTAACATATATATAGTGACTCATTTGCATTGTCGATGTCATGTTTTTTTCCCAAACTTTCTGGTGAGAGCTTGGGGTAGAAGAATACAACATCATTTGGGATCATTTGGTGTAAAAGATCCTTATCCTTCAAACCTACATGTGATGAATTCTGTTCTCAACTTATTGAATTCATTGCTCATCTTTAGTGAGACATTTAGCAACATTAATAATTTTCTCATGGCAGTTCAATTAAAAATATATATATATATATATATTTTGTCATATATTTGATACTCTCTCACAAACACTAAACTCGAAATACAAGAAAAAAAAAAAAAAACCCATTAGCTGTTATTTACCATGACAAGACAGTATTTAGTTGTATCCATTTTGCCGGCCATGACACGAAATCTATTTGTGTCGTAGAATTTATACATGTAAAATATCTAAATATTGTCAACAATTTGTAGATAAACTAGTTTTATGCGATTGTGTCGATTTGTATGCAAACATAATATAATCTGAATAGGTCAATTTAATTTTAATACTGTGCATGACGTCGCATTTAGTTAACACATCCTACACTAAAAGTAAGGATTTTCTATAATTCAGAAATAGTTTTAGTTAAACAGAATGCTGGGACCAAATGCGACAGGGTGATAATATCAAATAAACGGATTATGACTGGATTGAATATTCATTATTAAACTTCCCAGAAGTTGTGCATCCAGGTATTTTTTTGTATTCGGACCCCTTTTGTACGAAGTTATGGTCCTTTGTTGAAAAATCCTGAAACTTTTTGTCCGGACTACTTCTTCTGAGGCTATGGATCGATTTCAAAAAAAATTTGCAGTTTGATAACTACCACCTAAAGTTGTGCAACCAGGTATTATTTTTTCGTTCTGACCATTTTTTTAACGAAGTTATGGCCCTTTGTTAAAAAATCCTGATTTTGTTTTGTCCGGACAACTCCTTCTAAAGTTGTTGATAGATTCCAACGAAACTTTGCAGATATGATAACTACCACATGAAGTCCAGGTATTATTTTTCGTTCTGACCCTTTTTTTGCGATGTTATGGCCCTTTGTTGAAAAATCATTGTCCGGACAAGTCCTCCAAAACTATGGGGCCAATTTCAATAAAAGGTTTCAGATATGATAACTATCACCTGAAATTGTGCATCCAGGTATTTTTCTTTTCGTTCTGACCCTTTTTTACGGAGTTATTGCCTATTGTGGAAAAACGCTTGTCGGTACAACTTCCCTAAAACTGCTGGACTAATTTCAATGAAAGTTTTCAGATATGATACATTTGTAACTACCACCTGATGTTGTGCATCCAGGTATTATTTTTGCAATCTGACCCTTTTTCGGAAACTTTTTCTGACAACTTCTCCTAATCAACCTGGCCATTTTCAAAGAAAGTTTACAGATATGGCAACTGCCGTTTGACGTTGCGCATCCAAGTAGTACTTTTTCATTCTGACTCTTTTAACCTTAGTTATGACCCTTTTAAAAAAATCTTTGTCTGCCTCTACTGGGCCAATTTCAATGATAGTTAATAGATATGGTAATTACTCCCTGATGTCGTGCCTCAGGGTAGTAATTTTTCAGTTCGACCCCTTTTTAAGGAGTTATGGGCCTTTGTTAAAAATCTTTCTCCTAATATCTCTTCCTTAACTACTAGGACGAGTTTTAGCAAAACTCGTTCATCTGGTCATGGGCTAAAAAGATTTGAATTGCAAGTATGTTTTGGCATTAAGAGGGAGTACAGGAAGTATGAGAGTGACCTGTATACTTGAATCAGTGTATAGGTCAGGCAATAATGACATTATTACTGGTGGGAGACTATATTGCTTTGCAATGCTTTGCCTTAGT